TTAAAATTCAGTTCCTTAGTGACACTAACCACCTTTCATGTAGCTAGTGACCTCTGTATTGGACATTTCCATCACTGCAGAAAGTTCTAGCAGACAACACTAATAGTGAAAAATACAAGATAACAAATAAGTCCATGGAAAGTTTGATCTTATTAATATTAAATATGCACTTTTTAATATATATTAAAATATTAGTTGATCAAGGGGCGCCTAGGTGGCTCAGTCATTAAGCGGCTGCCTTTGGCTCAGATCATGATCCCAGGGCCCTGGGATCAAGCCCCGCATCGGGCTCCCTGCTCAGCGGGAAGCCTGCTTCTTCCTCTCCCACTCCCCCTGCTTGTGTTCCCTCTCTCGCTGTGTCTCTCTCTGTCAAAGAAATAAATAAAATCTTTAAAAAAAAAAATATTAGTTGATCAAACTGTCAGTAGTGGTTTCTCTAGCAAATAATAGGACCAGGGGCCTTCCACTCCTTACACACTTTATTGTTTGAATTTTTAATAAAGCATATTTTACTCTTAAAACGAGTAAAAGTCAGAAACATATTTTCAAATACAGTAACAAAAAAAACCAATTGACCAACCTTTTTCTTGAACTTACTTGGTACAGAATTTGGTTCTAATCCCTGAGTTAACTGAGCAACTGACTTTAACTCATATATATTTACTGTGGACACTTGTGTTAATAAACAATTTCAACACAACATAGAGTGTGTCCCACACCTAGAAATTTTCCAGAGTTTAGCTAAGCTTCTGGAAAAAGTCTGTTTGGGGCCCAAGGGTGATACCACATTTCAGATGCAAGTCTGAGCAGACATTTGATGATTTCAAACTGTATTTCTTGAATTGAGGGAGTTCCTTGGGCATAAGCTGTTAACACACCTTTCCATTTAGATTTACACAGTTGATAAACATCAAATTTCAGAAAGGGCAGCTCTGAATGATCCTCCGGAAAAATTCCCACAGTCGGTCTCAACAATACACAGATAAAGCCAGAAAGAACAAGACACTATATGGACAGTAACTTCAATCCGCGCCCCCCCCCCCCCATACTGGGTGTGGGAGAAGAGAGGTTATGTTCTTTGTTAAAAGAATTCCAAAATTTTAATCCTTACCAAATACCAGATCTTTAATTTTTCTAAGAAAAAAAATGTTTTTTTAATGTCTCACAATAACCCTCAAATACTAAAACTATTTCATATCTACCCCAGGGAATAATTTGGTCATTTATCTGCCAACAACAGCATATTCATATATGCTTATTTTACCCCCTAAGTAAATATTCTTGGTAGCTGCCTTCTATATTCCACCACAGTGAATACTGAGGAAAAAGCTCTTAGTAGGAAAGAGATGAAAAACAACAATCTGCCTAGGATATTTTTTTTTCTTTTTTTTTTTTTTTTTTTTGGCATTCTGAAAGTCAGTGTTGGTAAAGCCAGGAAAGAGATTTGGTTCTGTGCCAACCTGAACACTAATTTTATTTGGGGCCAAAAATGTGACCCTGCTTCTAACACTGGACGGTAAGTATGCTTCATGCGGGTGGTAGGCCGAATACGAGGTAATGACCACTATCCAATGTATTTTACAAATGGAGAAAAGATGTCAGCTTAGCATGTCCTTCAACAATCTGCCCCATCCTCCTTGCTTCCCCAAATCCCTTTCGAAGAAAGAAACCGACCGTCAAACTGAGGTAAGTATTAAAGATCCTTGAGTATTTCCCTAACCTCAAACCCACCTGGGAAAATTCCAGGGGAAGTCACCCTAAAGGTAACCTCTTTAGTACCAGAGCCACCCCCAACAGAACAGAAATCTTCAGCAATCTGGACTATTTCTAATAATTCACACAGAAAGCTGGATTGAGGTTCACTTTTATCCACGTAGAAAGTCTTGCTAAGAAAATAATAGTATAAACGTGATTACCTTAAAACTTTGAATTTGCTTGAAAGTTTTCAAGTTCCCTCCAAACTCTTTACAAGGACCGCGTTACTTGCCCTAATTGTAAATCCTGTGTTTAAGGGAGTTGTTTAAACAACCTTTCTAGGTAATTGTCTATTAGTCTTTTCACTGAGCATAAAACGTATTTCATTCATGGGCTTGAAGCATTATCCACAAAAATGAATTAGTCCATAAGGAAAATTCTATGGAAATGAAAGAAAAGCATACTACGCAATAATCTTTACATACTGGTGGCAAAATGATCTAATTTGGTAACTTCTTCTTATCCAAGTGTCTAGTTGCAACCTAGTATGTCTAAAATGAGTGGTAAATACATGACAGTTAACCCTTGAACAGCGTGGGTGTTAGGGGCTCTGACGGGCCACGGAGTCAGAAATCTTTGTATAACTTTTGATTTCCCCAAAGCTTAACTACTAATAGCATAGTGTTGACCAGAAGCCTTACCAATAACATAGAGTCGATTAACAAATATTGTGTATGTTATACCTATTATATACTGTATTCTTATGATAAAGTAACATAGAGAAAGGAAAATATTAAGAAAATCATAAGGAAAATACATTTATAGTACTGTGCTGCATTATTTATGGGGAAAAAAATCACATATAATTGGACCCATGCAGTTCAAGCCAGTGTTGCTCAGGGGTCATCTGCATACTCAATTGTGGGGTAAATTAATTCCTTCAGGCCACAAGGGTACTACTTAGTAAATTACTGCTTTGTGCACTGACCCATACCTAGCAGCCTCAAAGCAGTAATTCATCATTAAAATGTAAAGTGTTTACCTACTCACTCCTCCAAAGGCTCTTTATTCGTCACTTAATTTAAACCAGTAGAGAATGAAAAGGCCGTGCATAGAAAAGAGTCGTCTTTCAAATTTTAACATCTATAAACCGGAGCCACGCAAGAAAAAAAATCTAGGTTTCTACTGGGCCACATCATCAGTACACAAGCCAAAACAAAACACAATTACCCACAAACTTGGCACACGCCATCTAAATTCAAATCCAAAAAAGCAGCAACTCGAAGTTTTACTGATCTCCTCCTAACAGACTACAAAGAAATCCATTCTATCACTCTCTTCCCACTAGAAGTTGTTCTATTATCTGCTCTTGGTTAAAACACTTCAGTCCACTGGGCATCTCTAAATGGTGAGTAACCGTGCTCACATACAATATGTGGATGTCTAACACTGAAAATCTCTGCAGAGGACACAGAGATGCCTCTGGGTGCTGATCTGGAAACTTCAAGCAGCCTATGTGAGGCAAGGCTTCCTGGGCCAGGCCCCAGATCAGTGCAAACACAAATGAGTACTTCTCTGTAGCGTGAATGTTCTGGACTGTGTAAGCAAGGAGGTACAAACCAAGCCTTCAAAAGAATGAATAATGAACAGAAATTACAGTGGACAAGACAGAAGTCCAGGGTCTCGCCATAAAGATCATGGACAGTTATCTGGGAAGTTATTTGGGTAATCCATCACATTTCATGTGGGCCCTGGGCCCATTCTAGCAAAAATGCGATTGTCTCGAAAGCGTATTTATATGTAGCTGGCTATGACGGGCAAATTTCTATCCCTGCACAGACAGAACTCAGGCTCAGATTTCTGTCGAATTTCCTTTCCTCTTAAAAAAAAATATTCTAGACTTGAATTGTAACATTCGGTACTTGCAGCTGCCACCAAAGTATTATTCACTGCAAAAATATAAAAAGCAACTTGCAAATGGGAGAAACATTTAGTCAGCTTTTTCTTTTCTTGATCTCTTTTAATATTTTATAACACATGAAAGCTCAGTAAAAGTTCCTTTCTTAAACAAATCTTCAAGCAGACGTTAAATAGAATGCAAATGCTTTACACTTCAAATCATCAATCATTTAAAGAATCCTCTCCATGAACTGAATAAATAAGCCATCTGTGACGAAGGCCTCCCTATCATGTTTTCAAGCTGACCCACTTCTTCATCAGTCACCACGGTTTGCAAAAATCTCACATCTAAGGGGCAGCAATAAGTGCTCTGGACCAGCGAAATAGTTTGAATCCAACGGGGTAAAAGGGGGAGTGCAAACACCACCTTTAAGGACACCAGTCTTATTTAAAATGACCGGCCCCCTCCCAGACTCTAAAAACAGAACTTCAACACCCTTAACCGGAAGCAATCTTTTCTCCAAAGGCAGAGCAAATCTAAGTCTCCGGGGGAGAAAAGGGAGCCAGTGAAAAGGAATAAGAAGAAACCTGATCAGGTGCTAAAACGCTTGGTGCAGCTGGCTTTGGAGATCAAACATCCGTTTTGCAAGCAAGATCTGTTCAGATCTCCAAAGCCTGAGCCCAAATCAGCAGACCCGTCCTGCTTCAGAGAGCCCTGCAGGCACGCGGGGCAGTGGCAAATTCGCGCGTCCCCAGGAGCGGCGGGGTCCGGGACCCCCGGCGCCCCCAGCCCCGCTCCGCGCGGGGCCGGCCGGGGACCGCGGCCGGCAAGCACAACTTTCCGCAGTTCCCCGCCACCCGCGCGCAAACGACCCCGCGCAAATCTAAAACCACTCCCCCCACCAGCTCCTCTTTTTTTTTTTTTTCTGGAGGCGGTGGCGGCTGGGGGAGGGGTGGGAGGGTCTGGAAGGACTTAAGGAGAGGATGACAAGGAGCCGAGGAGGACGACTTCCCACAAACGCGGCCGCCACAAAGGGACGGGGGCTGCGCCTCCCCTCGGTCCCGCCGAGTCGCACGCGGGCCAGGACGGCGCGTCGCACCCTCGGGCCGGGGCCGGGCGCAGGCGGAGGCGGAGGCGGGGACGAGCAGGGGCCGGCCGGCCGCGCGGCAGGTGACAGCGGCGTCGCCGGTCCCCGCACCGGGGCCCCGCGCCTCCCCGCCCACCCGGGGCCTCGCCTCCGCCGCGCCGCGCAGGAGCCGCGGGAGCCGGACCTCAGCAGGTCTGGGGGCCGCCCGCCCCCTCAGAGCGGCCCCGGCCCCGGCCCCGCCCGCGCCCCCGGCCCCGGCGTCCGAGCGCAACCCGCGCCGCGCGCTGTCCCCGCGCCCCGTGCCGCCCGCGCGCCTACCCTTTGGCGTGCTCCGTCTCCTCCTCATTGTCCCCGTCTATCCCGCACGTGTCCTGGTCGTCCAGCTCCAGGCTTTGCTGGCTGGCCGCAGACTCGCTGTCCTCCGCCATCGCGGCGGCGCGGGCTGGGGAGGCGGCGCTCGGGGTCGCGGGCGTGGGGGACCAGCGCGGCGGCGGCGCGAGCAGCTCCCCCTAGTGCCGCCCGCCGTCTCCTCCGAGCCAGGAGCGCGGGCGCGGTGCCCGCCAGCCCCGCCCGGCCTGGGCCCTCCCACCGCGGCTGGGGCGGGGAGGGGTCGGCGCGCCTCCCGGCGCCTGGGGGCGGGGAGGAGGGGCCGTGCCAGGGAGGGGAGGGGAGCGGAGCGGCGGGCAGCAGAGGGGAGGGCGAGGGACCGGGCGGGGTGGTCGCGAGCCGGTGGGGCGGGCGGTGGGGCCGAGCCCTGCCACCCGAGCCTGCACCGAGCCTCGGCCAGTGCTGGTCTCTGAATGCGGCCACAGTCTCCAAATCCTTGAGTCTTCATTTTGGAACACAGGCCAGGCGATTTTACACCTCTACAGGTTACGAAGCGCTTTTAACCATTGCAGGGATCTTTTACTCAAGAGGAGGCGTGCCAAGGCCCATGATTTCTAGAAGCCTCCCACACATACACATACACTCCTTTAAAAATTCCATTTCTTGTATCTGTCTATAAAATCAAAGTCAAAGTCAAAACAGAGGGCTTCCCACCTCCCCACCTCCGCACCTCCCCATTCCAAATAGACTGGCAGCCCGAAAACTTAACAGAAAAATTTTGAGCTGTCCTGTTTTCCGTGGACATCACAGGCAGCCGGCTCAGAGCAGAACCATCTTAGGGGAATTGGGGTAATGTTGTCCATGACGCTGGGGGATCGGACAGTGTCAAGTAGGACACTTTGGCTTTGCTCCGTCAAAGTCATAGCCTACACCTCCAAGCAAAACTATAGGGTCTTCTGGCTGAAACCCTCTGTGTCGCCCCGAGGAGGGAAGGGACCCGCTGCATGGATTGCCAAATAAAAGGCAGGTCAAGTTCAGGCTCTTATTTGCTGTGGCATTCTGTACACAGCAGCCCTGCCTTTGCTTTCCTGTTAACTGTTGGTGTTCAAAAGTCCTGCCGGACCACGGGAAGGTTTACAAAGTCAGTGGAAAGATAGTTACAAGGAACTGCTCAACGAGCAAAATGAGACTTTAAAAAGCCACCTGAAATGTTTGGTATGGGTTCGTTTTTTGCAGAAGTATTGGGAGCATTTTGTGCCTCCCCCCCCCCATAAGGGAAGACTATGCCCTTAAAATGCAGTGAGGTAGAGTATATAAAGACAAAAATTGCAGAGCCATTTCAAAGCTCATCAGCCTTTTATGACTGAGGGTGTTGAGCCTGCTAAGGCTCTGTAAGAAGTGCAAAATGGGGCCAAAACATGAAGGAAATACAATACTATCTTTCACAATTGCAACTATTTCTGAGGCAGAAAGTCACTTGTGGCCTCTGGCTTCAAACTTTAGAATATAGGCAAATATAGATCACAGAGCTTCCTGCAGCTCTTGTCCGTGAACATGAACAGTCGATGACTGTAACCTAGTTGGGTAACCAGCAGGATCATGACCAGGAGCAAGTTTATCTGCTCAGTCACTCACCGATCAGAAGCGTTCTTGAAAAGATTTTAAAAATACAAAGCAAAGGAAACTTATTTATTTGAATTTGCAAGAAGCTTTGACTAAAAACCTCTCAAAAAAGAATAAGAAAATAAATAATCCTGGAGAAATAAAATGAGGGCATCAAAAATCAGTTTAACACTGGAAAACAATGACAAACAGGGAACATCTGTTCCCCAGAATGGAAAGAAGTTGGCCCAGACATCTGTTCAGTACAGGATTGAGGTTTTATTTATATAATACAGTGTTTGTCATTGTTAATCATTTGAAGGAGCGCAAAGTTTGCAGATGACCCTGGAGATTCCTAAACCCTATTGTCATGTACAGAAACTCACTATCTCTAAAAATGTTTGCTTCTTTCCCTGATTTAATCCTAGAGTTTGGGGAATTGGAATCAAGTGGCATCTTCTAGAATCTCAGATCCAAGACTGATGTGGAGAAAGAGAGTACTATAGAGTATCTACCAGTGGGTTAAAGAGGCCCTGGAGGATTTTCTATCCTGCTAACTCATCTCCTATTATAGGTATAAGACCATAATTGTATAATTGGTTTTATTTTATTTGAACTATTATAACTTTTTGGTTTTTAAAAATTGTGGTAAAATACACATAATAAAAAATAGACCATTTTTGCCATTTCTAAGTTTATAGTTCCATAGTGCTAAGTATAATCATATTGTTGTGCAGCCAATCTCCAGAGCTCTTTCAACCTACAGAACTGAAACTGTACCCATTAAAAAACTCCCCATTTCTGGGGCACCAGGGTGGCTCAGTGGGTGAAGCACCCAACTCTTGATTCGGCTCCAGTCATGATCTCAGGGTCCTGAGATGGAGCCGGAGGTGAACTCTGCGCTCAGTGGGGGGGTCTGCTTTAAGATTTATTTATTTGTTTGACAGAAAGAGAGACAGTGAGAGAGGGAACACAGCAGGGGCAGAGGGAGAGGGAGAGCAGGCCTCCTGCTGAGCAGGGAGCCTGATGCAGGGCTCGATCCCAGGGCCCTGGGACCATGACCTGAGCCGAAGGCAAATGCTTAACAACTGAACCACCCAGGCGCCCATGTCTCTATGAATTTGACTACTCCAAGTACCTCATACAAATGGAATCGTGCAGTATTTGTCTTTTCAAGAGTGGCTTCACTTAGCATAATGTCCTCAGGGTTCATCTATGTTGTAGCATGGGTCAGAATTTCCTTCTTTTTAAGGCTGAATAATATCCCGTTATACGGATATAAACATTTTGTTTATCCATTTATCCTTCCATAGACACTTAGGTTGGTTCCACTTCTTGCTGTTGTGAATAATGCTGCTATGAATGTGGATGAAAAACGTCATTTTGAATCCCTGCTTTCAATTCTTTTGGATAATATACCCAAATGTAGAATTACCAAATCATATGGTAATTCCATTTTTAATCTTTCTTGAGGAACTGTCATAGCATATTCCATGGCAGTTGCGCCATTTTACGTTCCTACCAACAGCACACAAGGGGTGGGATTTCTCTATGTCCTCACCAACACTTGCTATTTTCTGGTTTTTGATGTGAGCCATCCTATGGGTGTGAGGTGCTATAACTTCCGGATATAACCAGAGACTTATATATAATCCTTGTTTCTGCTAACAAACTACATTTCTTAAGTACAAAAGAATAATAAAAAAATTTAAACCACATCTAATACAAGGATGGACGACATGTAGTTATTGTTGTCCATTACATAACATGAGGTGACAACCGTAGAGATGCCTTAATTACAATGAGCCGATTGTTGGAAGAGTATTACACATTAGCTGTGAAGTAATACTACATAGTACTTAACCGCAAGATCGACTTGAATATTGTCTCTTACTTTCATCTCTAAATACTATAATGTGAAGAAGTGGGGAGAGGGGTGATAAGATTACAGAAAGAGGCAATTAAGAGAATTTGACAATAGGATTTTAAAAGAAAAGTTCAAGAAGGTCATGTTATTTATACTCAAAATCTAGGGGCACCAGGGTGGTTCAGTTGGTCAAGCATCCGACTCTTGATTTCAGGTCAGGTCATGATCTCAGGGTTGTGAGATCAAGCTCCGATTTGGGCTCTTCTGTACTTAGCATGGAGTCTGCTTGAGATTCTCTCTCTGCCCCAGAAATGGGGAGTTTTTTAATGGGTACAGTTTCAGTTCTGCAGGTTGAAAGAGCTCTGTCCTTTTGCCCCTTCCCCTACTCTCTTGCTCGCTCTCTCTCTAAAATAAAAAAATAAATTTTTATACTTGAAATCTAAAGGTTCATTTTGGAAGGACAGTACATGGAGGACCCACCCTACTGTTTTCCATTTCTTCAGAGGATAGTAAATTATTAATACAGCTGAAAAGAGATTTAATGAATGGGAATATAGACCTGAGAAATAACCCAAAAAGCAGTTCAGAGAAATAAAAAGATGAAAAATTTAGAGAAGTTAAGAAACATGGGTGATAGAACAAAAAGGTTTAGCATTCATCTGACAAAAGCTCCAGGAGGAAAGGATGAGCTCCAGAGGGAGAAAATGGGGAACACAATATTTGAGGAGGTAATGGAAGTGTATTTTCCACGATTAAAGAAAAACATGAGCCTTTGGATTTATGTATACCCAGTTACTGGCAAGATTTTTTTTTAACGTAGGCACATTGTGTTAGATTGGTTAAGAAAATGGACCCAAGGGGTGCCTGGATGGCACAGTCGGTTAAGTGTCCGAATCTTGGTTTTGACTCAGGGCATGATCTCAGGGTCATGCAATTAAGCCCTGTGTTCAATTCCATGCTCAGCAGGGAGTCGGCTTGGGTTTCTCTCTCCCTCTCCCTCTGCCCTTCCCCCTGTGCGCTCTCTGTCTGTCTCAAATAAATAAATAAATCTTAAAAAAAAAGAAAGAAAGTGGACCCAATTCTTAACCTCTCCCTGTATTCATATTCTTTGCAACTGACTTTGCATCTCTTTCCAGCAAGAGCCCTCGAATTTAGATTGGCTTGACCTGCTTTGGCCATTTGAATGTGATGGAAGAGATGGTGTGTCAGATCCAAGACCAGCCTCAAAAGTTTTTGTGTGATTCCCCCCTCTCTCTGTCTTTCCCCCAGAATCCTGCCACTGCAACAAAGACAAGCCTAGATAGCCTCCTAGAAGGATAAGAGACTCTACTGATTAGGGGTCTTCCAGACAAGGTCATCCTAGAACCAGCCAACCTCCAGCTCACATGCCCTCTGACTGTAGATACACTCATGGTCCCAGCAAAGATCAGCTGAGCTCAGCCTAGATGAGCAGAGTCACCCAGCAGACCTGTAGATTTGTGAGAAATAATAAGTGATGTTGTTTCCAGATGCTAAATTTTGTGGTGTTCTGTTATGCGACAATTGGTAACTGATTCAGAAATTGGAATGTAAACACGGGATGTTGCCACAATCTATGTGTGCTATTGGCTTTACAATTAGGCAGCAGGCAGAGATTGGCAAAGTGGTA